CTTTTAGGGGGGTCATGGGGAGCTTTGTGGTCTGTGGATGGGGCTGGTGGGGGTGTGCGGAGGGGTTATAGGAGCCCTGTGGGTTGTGAGGGGCTCTGTATGAACTTTTGGGGGTTTCCTATGGGGCTTGTGGGGGCTTCTTGGGGTTCTGTGGGGTACTGAGATGAATAGGGGCTGACATTTGAAGTGGGATTGGGAATTCTTGGGATTTAGGAGATGGGATTTATAGGGGTTGGGATTGAGATTTGAAGGGGGAGCTGAGATTAAAAGGGATTGGGATTAAAAAGGATTGGGATTCGGAATTGAAGGAAGGTTGGGAATTACTGGGATTGAGGGGGTGGAACTGGGACCCTTTCAGCCATGCATGCTTGCAGATTTTAGCTAAAATTTAGGGGAGAAATACTGTTTTTTAGTGAATTTTCAGCACAACCCTCTCCTGTGGCCTCAATTTATGGTGTTTTTCCCCCATATCTTGTTATCTGAAGGCTGCGGGCGTCCCGTGTGCTGCTGGTGGGGCTGCGTGGTCTCGGCGCGGAGGTGGCCAAGAACCTCATCCTGGCAGGGGTGCGAGCTCTCACCATGCTGGACCACCACCAGGTGGGGGCTTTTTGGGGGGATAAACAGGGAAATTGGAGTCTCTGGGGGCATCTGAACCAACTGCTAGGGAAAAAAATGTTTTATGGGGGGTAAAGGAGCAGTTTTGGGTCACCTGAAAGGGAAAATGTTCCATTTTGGGGCATTTAGACCCTCCTTTTTTTGCCCTGAAAATGCATTTTTGAGGGAAATCGTTCAATTTCGGAGGGTTTAAACCCCCCCCCCCCCCTTTTTTTTTTTCTCTCTCTCTCTGAAAATGTTCTTTTTGGGGAAATAATTCTATTTTGGGGACACCACTTCCAAAAAATGCTGTTTTGGAGGAAATCACTCAGTTTTGGGACACCTAAAGGAGGAGATCACTCTATTTTGGGGTCATCCAAACCCACTGCTCCTGGAAACACTCTTGAGAGAAATCATTCCATTTTGGGACATGCATGAGCATCCAAAAAAATGCCCTTTTGGGGAAAAATCCTTTCATTTTTGGGATACCTCAGGGTGGAAATGGTTCCGTTTTGGGGACCAGCAGCGCTCTCTGCCCCCCCTGAATCCCCATTTTCCCCCTCCCGGACTCCACCTCCTCAGGGGTAACCCCAAAATTTCCTTATTTCCCCCCATTTAGGTGTCACCCGAGGACACACGGGCACAGTTCCTGGTCCCTGCTGGCTCTGTGGGGCGCAATAGGGCCGAGGCGTCGCTGGAGCGGGCGCAGAACCTCAACCCCATGGTGGATGTCAAGGCCGACCCCGAGAGCGTCGAGAGCAAACCTGAAGCTTTCTTCACCCAATTCGATGCTGTGAGAGAAGCCCCCCAAAATGTGGGGTTTTGGGGGGGGAAAATGGGGCGAAGGGAAGCGTTGTCTGGGGGGTTGTAGGGCTTCTGGGTGGGTTTTGGGGTTGGGGGAGGGAGGGTTGGGGCCCCAATGCAGTGCTGTGGTGGTGGTGAGGTTGCTCTGCGGGCTGTGGGATGGAGCTGAGT